GAAAGTATTTATTGTCTAAAAAGTGTTAATTTTAGCTGTTATTATCATATTCTAATTCCATGGTATAGGTTTGTAGAAGTCAACACAAGGATAAAGGCAATGTATGATAATCAATTTAAGCATTATACCTTAAGGTTCAGTTTGTTTCAAGGGAAGCACTTGATTCATTTTAATGGCTTATCTGAGTCAACAAACAGAATATAAGGGAAATGTGGGTTATACGTTGACGAGACCAAATCGGCTTTGCAAGCGGGTTTTTATTCTATATTCCGTTTGGGAGACAAAATAATCTGACGATGGAATGTGTTTCCTTTGGGGAAAGTAACAGAAAAGAAATCCTCACATGGAAAAGCAATAAATATAAACTAAGAACGGTCCTCCTCAAAATACTTCCCAGACGGGAAACAAACCTTTCGTGTTACATTTCGTTAGTTCTTCTTTTTGGGAACATTTCAAATGTAAAATATTCACCGAATGGAAGTTTCTTCTTCTCGTTTATCTTCTATCCAATAAACATTATGATGCCCTTCTCGTGACGGATTTATAGATAAAACTTCAGCCGGCGATAGGGCATATCGTCATATTTACAAAAGTATCCTTTCTCAGTGTTCGTTGCATATACTAGCTTGGTTAACTTGAAACGGCGTTTTTTTTTATTATACTATAATATTTGTTCCTGATAGGACAAATATTTAATACTCTTTCTTCCGTCAGGAACAAATACTGAAATATTTCTTCCAGTACAAATAATGTTCCAGAATATTTCAGCCATTTGGAACTAATATTGTAAAGGAAATTCTTTTCAATACATGATCATAAAAAAGGCATTTTGAGTTATCTCTTTAAAAAAAACTATTCATTACTATTGCTTTATTTATATAACAACTTCAATACATTCTGAAAAATTTCAACCGTCTTCAAAAGAAATGCTAGAATGTAATGATACCGGATACCAAAAGATTACACGAACTCTAAAAACAGACTTTACATCATGCATATGAAATGCTTTAAACAGGAATATGATCATAGCCCTTCCCATCCCACTATCGAATACTTAGAGCATAACTCATCTCCAATGTATTATCTGGTGTTCTTTACGGATATTAAAAGTTGTGCTAGAGATTTATGTAAACAATATCCTTATAATCTGTTTGAATTGGACTTGTCTCTTAAATGATTGTAGAATTCAAAACAATCAATTTTCTAACCTAAGACAATATGGATTTCATTTAAATATTAAAGAAGTTCTAAGGAAAAATGACAAAAAAATTGTATTCATAAGTAAAAGTTTTGCCGTATTGTTGATGTTTTATGTAATTTTTTTGTCTTTGTATAATTAAATTGAAATGGTGCATTATTTGAGATCGTCTTTGTTGTTTTTATAGATGCTTGTTTTCCGTAATTGCGTAAAATACAAATGGTAGACGGGTACTGATATTTGGGATTCTGTCATCTGTTAATATTTTTAATTAATCCCTTAAATACATTAATAATGTATCTAAGGGATTTAATTTTAAACAGGAATATGATCATAGCCCTTCCCATCCCACTATCGAATACTTAGAGCATAACTCATCTCCAATGTATTATTTGGTGTTCTTTACGGGTCTTTCGTAGATTTTTGGAATAACATGTACATGTACTTTCATCAGAATGAAATTAAAATACATCATGGTCTTTCGTAGATTTTTGGAATAACATGTACATGTACTTTCATCAGAATGAAATTAAAATACATCATGGTCTTTCGTAGATTTTTGGAATAACATGTACATGTACTCTCATCAGAATGAAATTAAAATACATCATGGTCTTTCGTAGATTTTTGGAATAACATGTACATGTACTTTCATCAGAATGAAATTATCTTTATTTGCTAGTCACTAATTCAATATGAAAAAATATGTCTATAGTATTCGAAGTATATTTTTGCTGTTAGTACAATACATACATCTGTTTCCTTAATTATTGATTTGTCTTGTTATAATATTATCATACGACTGCCCCGTTTAAGATATTCGATTCTGTATTTTATCATTTTCATTATAAATGAAATTTGAGAATAACGTACTCTTCATCAGAATGAAATTATTCTTATTTACCAGTAACTACTTCAATATATAAAATCTTTGCCTATGGTATTCGTATATGTTTTTTTCCTCGATTTAATAATTTTGGATATTAAATTTTCTTGAGGGCCATAATTGTTTATTATCAAAGGTACATGTACATGTACAAGATAAATAGAGAATATCATATGACTGTTTCAATATTACATTCTTATCAATCCGAGATTCCAATGTAATCGCCAAGAGTTCTGATCGAAGAATTATATTTGCTGAGGGTTGATATGATGTATGATATTGAAAAAAGCCATATCATATACACTTTATTATATACCTCAAGTAGATGTTTTTCACGTGACATGACGTAATGTGGATTAAGGGTATAGCCGTGATTGAGATCGATGGGCTGACGTCATACAGATTAGGTGTTTGATTAAGCCTTTGCAATCGTGACTGATATCGATATCTTCTTGGATTGCTGTTATAACTCGCTTGCCATTGATTGTATTACACTTACAATTTCCTTATATTTACTACTAAGTATATAATAAATTTATTTATTTGCCTATCATGACTTCCTAACTACACCAGGACATAAAACAAACATGAAATAGGACTAAACTTAAAAAGATATCGTTGAATGCATATGTGAAAAAATATTTCAACAAACTATGGGTGATTTATATACTTTGACTCTCAGCGTTTGATATTGATTCCCGTATTGGTTGATTTAAGTATAAGTATATCAAATATATTTCATATGGTATTACACCGATTAGAATTAAGATGTTGTTTTGTTTTTTTTTATCGAAGGATTGTTTGGTGTGTTTCCATTGCCTTTGTCTTTATACCCCCGCTCCGAAAGAGTATATGCTGGTCCATACGTCCCTCCCTCCGTCAAATGAAATTGTTATGGCATTTTCTCAGGAACAACAAATCAGATCAAGATGAAATTTCCTATCATGTTGCATGTAAGCATGCATTATCGTTTTATGCGGTATCGCATCCATCGCTTATCTATTGTATGCTTACCGATACTTATTCCTGGGTATATCTTTATCTTTATTATATTGCATTTCTTTATAAAAAAAACTAGAGCATATGATTAATAATATAATTAAAATTAAATATTCGTACGCAGCGACCAAGCATAACACAAAGTTACCTAGTGCAGAGATTTAGTTGTAATTAGATTAATATAATTACACAATGCATGTGATATATATAAGTCAAAATGGTATGATAAAACGTTTGAATTCTCAAATTCACGCAAAGTTAGACCAATATACACTTAAGAACAAAAATGTCTTATTTGCTACTTTCTCATTCATAAACTGACATCGAAAAAAAAACCTTGACTTGTAAAATTGATGAATTATTAAGTTGAATTTAACATGTTTAAACCGATAGAAACTTACACTTAACCAGTCTCAAATGAAAATATGAAATCTGACAAGAATAATAAATGATATTGTAATATCTGACCCAATACAACTGTAAAATATATATTTTTGAGCATCCACTGCGTCAATTGCATATCATCTATAAAACTAAATGGGGTGACCTGTTTTTTTTTTCTTTTTCTTTCCTTGAATTACTAGATATAATAAATCGGTATGGCATGAAGCCTACATGTAGATTATTATCCTCATATTACATGTGTAGTTATTCTAATGTATGATTTAACCTACATTTCGATGAGTGCTTACATCTCATATATTCCAGCGATCTTGAGATTAAACTTCCAACAGTCAATTTCCTATTTACACTCTCTGCTCCTCGTATGACCATAAAAATCTCAGTTCGTACTATATATAGGCTCGTGTATTTACACACTATACGGACCTCATTGACAGGGGTCTTAACCTTACACAGAAACTGCTTCTATAGAGTTAAGAGAAAAATTACTGAAATCAACACTTTATAAGTTTTACGGTCACTATCGCGAATTGGAAGACCGATACGATGGGTCGGTGTCTTAACTCACAAGCGTTTTCGTGTTTTCGTAGTGTGAGATCTTTCGATTGCACTATTGTCGTCTGATCTGTGATTATTGATTGTTGAAATGCGCATCTGGTGCAGAAAATTGGTACCGATTATGTTATTATATGATTGTGTCCTATTCTCAATTGTGACATTTTGACTGAGTGTGAACTTGCATGACGGGTAGTGCATGCATAGGAGACGTCTAACCTATTGACACACCCGGTCTCGCTCCTTTTGTGGTTCAAACGATTCCTCGGTTTTTGTTTGTTACCTTGATTTGTCTCTTTAATCGATTTGCGAGATTTGAAAATCGGTACACTCATGTCGCCTTTATTTACCATTGGCCTAGCCGGTCTCGATCCCTTCGGAATTCATTCGAATCCCTCAGTTTTGTGTTTTAACCTTAATTTGTATCTTCTTAATTGAGTAGTGAGAGTGGAACATCGGTAAACTAGTTATTTACAATTGGTCTAGCCGGTCTCGATCCCTTCGGAGTTCATTCGATTCCCTTAGTTTTGTGTTTTTACCTTAATTTGTATCTTCTTAATTGAGTAGTGAGAGTGGAACATCGGTAAACTAGTAATTTACAATTGGTCTAGCCGGTCTCGATCCCTTCGGAATTCATTCGAGTCCCTCAGTTTTGTGTTTTTACCTTAATTTGTATCTTCTTAATTGAGTAGTGAGAGTGGAAGGAACATTGGTAAACTAGAAATTTACAATTACGACTTTTTTATGATATGAGACATCAAAGGTTAATTTATAGACAAGGTTTGCGTTGTTTGTATCCACATTGCTCCCTATATCTAACAAATATCTATATGGTATAGGTATTTTCTTTCTTCCGAAGTACAAGAAAGCAGGTTAAGTCGATAGGTTCGACTTTGACGGCAAAGTCGTTAAGACAAATCTGTTGTTGAAATTTTTTACTTTTATTTATTTCTTTTGCAGGCCATTCGAAAGCTAAAATTAGACATCAGCAAAAAGAAAGAGAAATATGGAACAATCATAGAATCCACGCCACAGGTAAGAGCATGTCTCAGAAGATTTGTATCATCTAAAATATGCATCTAGTAAAAGAAGGAAGCCTATCCATGATAACTTATTAGCTTTTCATCTTTTGTGAAATGGCAGATTTTAGGATAAAATAAAATATTCCCGCCTTCTTTATTTTCAAATGGAGACGAATGTCATTGCTTCTAGATTGCTAAATGGAAGTATAGAAATCCCCTAGAAAGTACGCATACTTTTAACTTAACCTCATGAAATTGCGATTTTTTTTTATTATATATTAATTAACTTTTTTAAAGGTGGATGAACTGACCATACTTTTAGAGAAATGTACAGACAAGAACAATATACTAGCAGTTACTTGTTGTAATGCCGTGGTCGATTTAGTCCAACTAGGAGTCATTGAATATGATTTTATCATGAGATGTCTTTTGAACTTGGTACCGTCAGCAAAGTAAGTTGATGTAAAACTTTGTTTTCCTAATGTTACATTAATATTTGTTCCCCCCGAACATATCATATACTATGTGACATAAAATCATATACACATTTGATGTAAGGAAGCATCTATGAGATTGAACAGGTATATACAGACAAGTTCACTCTTGGCTTGGATTTTACGCTTCGTTAACTTAAAGGGAGTCTAACATTCAAGCATTAACAGTGAACTTTGGTGGTTTATTCTCACGGCTCGTACGCGCCACATAAAACTTTTAAAATGATTGGAGAACTGTTTATTTTTAGATTTAAAATACCGAGGATTTTTTTAAAATCTTTTCACTTCCATAACTGGTTTACTTATCTTACTTAACTTTGTGACTGTAAATCATTTATGTTTTATAAAGAACAGGTTGATAAATGAAATACATGTTTTGAAAGTTCTATCATGGCATATACCTAAATTAAAGTACATACGTACAATAGAACATGTGGACCACGTCTTTTCCAGCAAATGTTCCTGAAAGAATTTACTTTCTTCCCCCTCCTGTGTCCAAAGAACTGTGTGGAAATTCACATCGACGTAGATTCTTTCATAAAATTGCTATTATTGTCTATGAATTATGATTATAATGAATTATGAACACTGTTACAATATTTAAAAAAATGAAGTGCTGATCTAATTATTTCATGACATAACTTTCAGAAACCTAAATGGAATTATACAGGCAATAACAGCGCTGTTAAAGCTTCAGTTGGCTGTTGCTATCAACACAAATCAAGATGGCACATTTGTTTCACCATATACCTTAAGGTAGGAGACATTGTGATGATAATGCTTGTATTAAGTTAATGAGGCATGTTTGACTTTATCAATCGTATTACTCCCCCTTGAAACTTAAATGAACATTGTCATTTACAACAAGTAATTTAATTTGAAATATATATTTGTTTGAGCTAATTATGTGTAATTTTGCTTATATAGAAATGAGATGCATGCGAAAAACAGGTATATTTGCAAAAAAATGAAGTATATAAAGATGAAAACGGAGAAAATTTAAAAAAAAAATCGTTTTTTTGATAGGAAAATAATCCAACAATTAACAAAATCATTTTTTTTTATAAATAAAAATACTTATGGTCTAACCTAAAACTTGGAATAGATCAACTTAGCTGTATTTGGCAATTCTTTCAGAATTTTGGGTCCTCAATGCTGTTTAACTTCGTACTTTATTTGTCCTTTTTAACTTTTTTTAATTCGAGCTTCACTGGTGAGTCTTTTGTAGATGAAACGTCCGTCAGGCGTACACAATTTTTATCCTGTTATCTATGATGAGTTTATTATACATATGACAAATTGATAGATACTACCTACCAGGCACATCTGTAAGCTTTCGTTACTACTATTATATGTTATTATACGGCTAATTGGAATATCCTTCCTAAACTGAGTCCCTTATTAAATTTAATTACAAATAAGCATTATTTCGAGGAGAAAATATTGTTAATGATAACCTTAAATATTTATATTGTCTCACGAGTGACATTGGGTACCGCACCAGAAACCGTATTTTATTGAACTGTTAAATTAAATATTAAACAAAGCTATGTGTATACACATAAGTGATTAGCCTTAACATTTAAATAAATTAGTGACCAACGAAACTATTGGATAATTATACATCTGTTGACCAAAATGTAAATAGAAGGACAAATTCTGCGTTTAGGGCCAAATTGTTTACCATAATGATATTTCAGACAGTTTAATCTGGCTAGGAAATTAATCTAACAAAACAGGATTTTCATAATTTTTGAATATATACCATAGCAATTTTGATATAGAATACTACCGAAAGTAGAAGCTCTGCTTCATATCTTAATCTTTTCCTAGATATTGACACAGCTTATGTTCACTCTATACGACTTCAGCGATAGGGGTGTACTTCTTACACAAAAACTGCTCCAACAGAGTTATGAAGAAGATCGGCTGAAATCAAAACTACAGAAGGTTTAGGGTTACTATCACGAATTGGTTGACCGATACGATGTATCTTCGCCACAACTCACTAGCGAGATGTTTCGATGTCTTAGGTCTTTATACACCAGTATAGTCGTCTGATAGTCCCTTGTGTTTCATTCCTGATTGTGCCATATTGCCGCAGTGTGGATTCGCATGGTGACTAATGCATGCAAAGCAGGAGACGCTTACCCTGTCGACGCACCCGGTCGCACTCCTTTTGCAGTTCGTGCAAATCCCACAGGTTTTGTTTGTAACCTTAATTTGTCTATACTGAATTAATTTCCGAGGTTTGAACATCGGTAAACTACTGTCGCCTTAATTTATGCGACATGTTCTTGAATCTTTACATGATATATTCGTCTAATTGCATAATTATATTTTTCCACTTTTCAATCTTTTCAAAAATAACATTAGCAAAATTAACGATTTCCTATGCTTATAACAGACGTGTAAGCGCGTATAAATAGATCTGAGTTTTAATCAGATTGGGTTGGCCATGATTGAATTGTGATATTTTGTACAACCTCCATCCAACAAAATAAAACGTTCCTTTTTACGACTTTTCAAATAATTGAAATCATCCTGAATTCCAACGATTTCATAAGAAGAAAAAAATTGGAAGGCGATTAGGTAAGCTTCCTATCGAAAGTGGACCACTTGTCAGTAAGCTATCCTAGTACTCCTCATCAGTAAGGTATAAACTTGACCACTAGAAAAAATAAGTTAACTTGTAATAAAGCTTGGCACCTTGTCTGCAAGTTAGCTTGTAGCGAAGCTTGCAATTGACCCTTTGTCAGTAAGTTTCTTAGTAGTTTGCTAGCAAAACTTGACCCGTTGAAAAGTTGGCTTTCTGACTTGTGTATTGTGTAAAATTTAAAATTGATTTAGTTGATTGGTTGATATTTGCTAAAGGTTCATTGGCAAATGTTTCATTCACATTAGGGAAGATAACAAAATTATGCAATTAATCAATTCAAAGGGTTTTGTTTGCAAAGTGGGTCGACCCTGACGAGAATTAAGGGAGGACAATTGGAATGCCACTTGAAAATATTGTATCTTAGATAGTAAAAATAACATTAACGGTACCTATTTTCTGCACCAGATGCGCATCTCGACAATAAATGTCTCTTCAGTGATACTCGAGGCCAAAATGTTTGAAAAACCAAAACGTTGGAAGAGCTGATGAAACAAAAAAGGGCCTTAAGATTGGTTAAACATTTTTCTGCAACAGGCCACCTGCGGACTATTAACAAAGTTGTTGCTAAATGCTTGAATATGTCGAGAGCATGACACCCTCGAAACACAGGACAGCAAATTAACGTCCCCTTTCCAAGCGGATGTGTATGCGTGTCGGTATACAAAAAGTAAAAATATCAACCACAGCCAAACGGACACCCTTTCATCATGGGTTTTATTGCTGGACGGGAAAAGTCCAGTTTACAATATATATTTTACCCCAGTCAGCCTTGGGGAAAAGACGCATAGAAGATGATGTTGGTGTTTTAGGAAGTAAAATTGATAGTCGGAAATATTTTAGTTTTGAAACAGGAGGCTATCATAAATTTCTGTACTTTTATTACAAGCAACTGATTATAAGTTCCACCAAGTTTTCTAAAAAATAAGTTGAAGCCTAATCCGATTCAATTTAAAGTGCAAATTTTTGTTGGACAAAATGTGACCCTTCATACAATTAAAACTAGACAATTGGATAAAGGATTTGCAGTAATATAACGAGAATACAACATTGATGGATCAAATATATGTTATCTCAAATTGTACAGTGGACACTTTAAGCTAGGAAAAAGTCATCAATGTAAGTTATCTTCTATTAATGAAATTTTAATGGATTTCATGATAAAGTGAGAAATTGCCAGATTTACGAAAAGTAATTTGATTTATCTCTTTATGACTTTATGTACTTTTACATAGAAGGTGTAAATTGACCAATCTTCAAAAAGTACATTTGAAGATTAATAATATGGCTGCTTTATGTCGCGTCAGATACGTGAAAATCGTGCAGATGATCTATTTTTCGTTTTCTAGTACTTTTCTGTTGTGCGTGTACAAATTTGTTAGATAAATAGAGTATGGAACCTTGATATCATCAGTTTGATTTATTAGCCCACCTTGCCTGAAGGGCCAAGTGAGCTTTTCTCATCACTTGGCGTCCGTCGTCCGTCGTCGTCGTCGTTAACTGTTTACATTTTGAACTTCTTCTAGAGAACCACTGAATGGAATGAAACCAAACATGGCATAAATGTTCCTTATGAGGTGCTGACCAAGTGTTGTTTTTTGTAGCCGATCCATCATCCAAGATGGCCGCCAGCGGGAGACTTCGTTTAACATAGGACCCTATAGACAATACATACAAATGTCTTCTTTTTGAGAACCACTGAATGGAATGAAACCAAACATGGCATGAATGTTCCTTATGAGTTGCTGACTAAGTGTTGTTACTTTGTAGCTGATCCATCGTCCAAGATGGCCGCCAGCGGGAGACTTCGTTTAACATAGGACCCTATGGACAATACATACTAATGTCTTCTTTTAGAGAACCACTGAATAGAATTAAGCCAAACATGGCATGAATGTTCCTTATGAGGTGCTGACCAAGTGTTGTTACTTTGAAGCGGATCCATCATCCAAGATGGCGGCCAGAAAGGGACTTAGTTTAACATAGAACCCTATGGGAAATACATACAAATGTTTTCTTTTAGAGAACCACTGAATAGAATGAAATAAAACATAACAGGAATGTTCCTTATGAGGTGCTGACCAAGTGTTGTAACTTTGTAGCCAATCAATCATCCAAGATGGCCGCCAGTGGGGACTTAGTTTAACATTGGACCCTATGTACAATACATACAAATGTCTTCTTTTAGAGAACCACTGAATGGAATGAAACCAAACATGACATGGATGTTCCTTATGAGGTGCTGAACAAGTGTTGTTACTTTGTAGCCAATCAATTAGCCAAGGTGGCTGCCAGAGGGGAACTTAGTTTAACAAAGGACCCTTTGGGAAATATATACAAATGTCTTCTTCTAGAAAACTGCTTAATGGATTGAAACCAAACATGGTATGAATGTTTCTTTTTAGGTGCTGACCAAGTGTTGTTACTTTGTAGCTGATTTGTCATCCAAGATGGCTGCCAGCAGGGGGAGTAAGTTTACGTAGGACCCTATGGGAAATTCATACAAATGTTTTCTTCTAGAGAACCACTGAATAGAATGAAGCCAAACATGGCATGAATGTTCTTAATGAGGTGCTGACCAAGTGTTGTTACTTTGTAGCCGAACCATCATCCAAGATGGCTGCCAGCAGGGGACTTAGTTTAACATAAGACCCTATGGGAAATACATGCAAATGCTTCTTCTAGAGGAGCACTGAATGGAATGAAACCAAACATGGCATAAATGTGCCTTATGAGGTGTATGAAGTGTTGCTACTTTATTGCCGATTTACTGTTCAAGATGGCCACCAGGATTTTTTATTAAATTACGGGGCAAATATTAAACCAAATTTGGCCTCAATCATTATTAAGGTATCTGTTATGATTTTAATCTATTTTTACATGATTTCTAAAACCAAAGTAGAATCAGGTAAGCGACACAGGCTCTTGAGAGCCTTTTGTTTTTCATGCTCCAATGGACTTACGAAGTTAATATTTCGATTACTAATACACTATCATTTAAAGAAGCACTATGCTTGACCAATTTTGCACACACTAAAGTATCCATTTAGTTTAGTCCCTGTCGTCGGTTTGGTCCCATTGATATATATTTAAAAAATAA